CTTTATTACGCTTAATTAGCAGTCCATAAAACACACTACATACATAAAACTAATATTGATTGAGTGATTAACAAATTAGGCAATCATGTCAGTCACATTGCAGTCACATCTCATGTGACAGAATTTGGCCACATTTTAAAAATTTCATCACTTGAGTTTGAAAGTAATACCTGTAAATAAAACTGTTCAAAATAACCAGGAATAAAGATATAAGAATAACTTTAAATAAGAGAGAGAGTGAGAGTTGATTCTTTATTACGCTTAATTAGCAGTCCATAAAACACACTACATACATAAAACTAATATTGATTGAGTGATTAACAAATTAGGCAATCATGTCAGTCACATTGCAGTCACATCTCATGTGACAGAATTTGGCCACATTTTAAAAATTTCATCACTTGAGTTTGAAAGTAATACCTGTAAATAAAACTGTTCAAAATAACCAGGGAATTTAACCACAGGGTTAACCGTTCACACTGGGTTATAGCATGAAACAAAAAGTATAAAAACACAATGATGATGGTTTCAACTGGCTTCTTTTCCACCTTTTTAAAAGCTTTCCAAATACTATGAGTGAGGGTGAGGTTCTTATATTTGGGTGGCGGTAATTCTACAGAAGGGAAATTCTTGCACAGAATGTGTCTCATTTGCACCACGCCTCCATCCAGGCAGGCACTGTCAGCAGGCAATCTCCATGGACAGCCTCTGGGAGGTACATTCTATTTGGAAGAAATGGTCCTAGAGTTAAGCAGGCTGCAAACCATAAAGGTCTTTACAGGTGATCACCAGTATCTTGAACATGGAAACAAACCAGCAACCCATCCAGCTCCCAGAATATTGCTACCTTAGGACTGAATTGTCATTGATTGATTGATTGATTTGATTTGATTTGATTTTTATACCTACACATCTCATGCAAGTGACTTTGGGTGGCTTACAGAATTAAAACACACAAACCCACCAAACATAAGCTCTGAGCACCCAAGGATAACCAATGGCTCACTGGCCATCAGTAGTAACAGAAGTCATCTACCCATTTTCCAAATGACTCAGGAAACAGCCAGGTCTTCAAATGCCTTGCTAAAGCCTTAGTTAGAAATTCTTCATGATGATCTATCCTTAACCTGTCCTTTCAAGTCTCCCAACAGTGCACTTATCACCTTTGTAACTGAGTCCATCCACCTTGTTGTTGCTTGTCCTCTTCTTTTCTTTCCTTCTACATTTCCCAGCATTAGAGCCTTGTCCAGAGAGCTGGGTCTTTGCATAATGTGTCCAAAATAAGATAATTTGAGCCTGGTCATTTGTGCCTCAAGTGACAAGTCCTGGTTGATTTGTTTAATGATCCATTCTTGGCTCTCCATGGTAGTCTGAGGAGTCTTCTCCAACACCAGAGAAAGGAAGGGGGAAATTGTTAAGCTTTCAAAATTCTGTCATTATAGCCAGTATTAATAAAGTAGAGTTCTAATATTTCTTGTAGTGTCCGCTTCACACCTGACATACCTCAAAGGCTTCTCTTCTATTCTTGGCAATTTCTACCAATAGTTCTGACATCTAGTTTGTTTTCTTCTGCTTTCTGATATTTGGCAATCTTCTTTAACTTTTATTCTTAACATCTTTGATTTCATTCCACATTTCCTCTGGTTCCCTATCAGAGAGGCTCATGAGTTCAAAGTGATTCCACTGCCATTTCTTTAAGCAGTTATGGAAGGCTTGTGGGCTTGGAGTTAATCTAATTTGGGGGTGGAGGATGATGTTCCAAAGGATGCTACCTATTTCTAATACTTAAATGAAAGCCCATCATAAAGTATTTATTGATCCTCAAAGATCTCTAGGACTGTGAGTCACAATTCATCACAGAGAGTTGAAAATCCATCTTTCAGAAAGGTGTTAGCTGCTTGACAAATGGCTGTTGGAATACTAGTAAATGTTTTCTGGAGTAATTCACCTTTTTATTTGTGTATCATTACTTATTTTAATTCCTTTTCAAAACCATCCAGAACTTATGTCATAGTGTTCCTATTCCAAAGGCTTTGCTGCTCTATGAAAAAAGAAATATTATGACTATAGTAAGACAAATGTTGCTTTCCACTCAATTTGATTTCTTGCAAAAGAGATCTAAAACTCACCAGGATATATGCAACTCTGGGGCCTCAGTTTGTCCCTGACACCAGCTTTATATGATTCTGGAAAGGAATAGTTAAAGTACATGAAATCTATTTCACAGAATGAGGTTCTGTGGTTAGATTGGACCATTATAATTAATGAGTGATCAAGCATACCTCCAGATTGGAGGACATATATTTATTCATATCCCAGTTCAGGATGAAACTGTTATCATAAGGGACTGCAGATGGCAACGTAACCATCATAAGCCATGATGGTAAGCAAGGCAACCTCAGAACTTCCACAAGTCACAACCAAAAAAGGCTTGAGGCTTTGTCATGGGAGGCAGGGGAAATTCAGCTGGATAAATAATTGCAACTCCATCAGCAAAAGCATGTGCATTTGTAAGTGATTGCTCAAGGTTTTCCATGTCACTGCTAACCTTAGGAGCCTCTTCTGGTCAATTAGATTGTCTGTAAATTCTGGCTGCTGCAGGAGTTGGATGATATCAGAAATTAACATTTTAAAGTCAGCATGCATTGGAAGGTATATGTCAATGTACAAATTCAATTCTTCCCTGAATTTGCTTGGGTTCTCATGGATGGGTGGAAACCTCTGTCTCAGGGCTTCCAACTCTGTGGGTTCCAGGGGACCTGGACTTTTGTGATGTCTCCTATGCCAATAGGCACTTGTCTCATGGGATATAATTGAGTTTGCGAGCTAGTATGACTAGCCATGGGACTAGCAGTAGTGGAATCTGCTGGTCCAGCAGGGGACTGGGGGGCTGGGCAGCTCCTCCCCACAAAGTTGCCTCATCAGCTGGCTTAGCAAGTGGCCTCTCCTGCAAGGCTTGAAATTCCCTTTGTTGATTAAGATTGTGAGGAGGAGTAGCCAGTAAAATCTCCAGGAGAGGGACTTCCCTCTTTGTTCAACATGACACTCTCTCCTAAGTCGATTTCTTAGTCCTTTTCCATGTGGGTAACTTTAAACATTGACATATTAAACATTAAACTCCTTTTTCAAAGGATCCAGATCTGGTTAGCTTTATGGTTATCAGAAAAAGAATGGTTGAGGTACACGAAATCTCTTTTGAGGAATGAGATCCAATTACTTTTGAGGACATTGTCTCAAGGAGAACATCTTTGTCCTTCCCTATCTATTTTTGAAAAAATATGGAAGCATTTTTACAGCTTTGATTCCCCCCCCCCCCCA